TGGTAATCATTTATTGACTCTTTACAGACTATTACAAAACGTATGCAGTCTTTTACCTTGACACCGTGGTATACCAAGAGGATGATTTCCAATGCTCCCTTAGTAACTATATTTGAATAGAAGAAAAGAGCTTTAACCCTTTCGATGCCAAACCCTCCAGAACATTTTGCACCTCAGCTGGCCACAGCATTTTTGCAATTTTTCCCATTGACTTGATTTTCAACTGTTGCGCTGCTAGCGTTTGTAAAAGACCCCCTAAACCATATATTTTCTAAAAGCACAAGCCCGGTAGAATAAAAAGATGGTGCTACTAAATTTGTAGGGCCTACGATAATTGCGCAAATGTTTATCAAATTAATATTAAACTGATAAAATACACAATTGAATTGATAAAGCACACTAAAATCAGTATCAGTGCACAAAAAAAAATATTTTCCACATAAATCAAAAAGATAAAACTGTATTGAGTTAATAAATAACAAATATTTGCAAATTTTAAATTGCACCTTTTTGCGAAAAGGTAAAAAAATGAAGGAACGCAAAACTTTAAATAAGTGACTTATGTTAAAAATCGTTTTTGTGCTGTGTTGGGATAAAATGATACAGGCGTATTTTTTATTGCAACACAAGGTATCACAACGCATGGCAATGCGTCACAAAGCTTTGCCATGCACTGCTACAGTAAAATTAATTTTTTTTACAGAAAAAAATCATGCACTGCGATGCGTTCTAACAACGCACTGCAGCGCATGTGCATGGCATACACCACAATATGGTGCACATGTAGGTTATGTGTGTGGTAGGGAGGGGGGGTGTGGGTTTTTTTTATTAGTTCATTTTTTTATTTATTTTTTTAAACTTATTTTTTACTTATTTATTTTAACTGTTGGGGGTGCTACAGTGAAATATCTGGTAAATAGACACCCATCCAATTGTATGGAAGGAAATACCAGCTAGGAACTCATCCATGAGGTAAAATGTCTGCTCTCCCTTCATTTGAAGTCCCCCAGATAGGTCAAGGGGGCACTAAAACTCTAAGGGCTGGTGCAGACTTGGGCGATCCAGGAACCCATTGATTGCCACGCGGACCCATTGATTTCAATGAAGTTACATCCACACGGCAATTGCTGAAAAAAGGTCCATGTACCTTTTTTTTGCGACACACACCTCGCATTTTTTTCCACCGCGATCGTGCGCGATTGCACGGGTGGAATCGCACCGGGAAACCGTGCGATCTGCTTGGCGCGACTGGGGTGCCATTCGAAAATAATGGCACCGCCAGCGGGATCCGTTGGCTGTGTGGTCACAGATCGCCCAGGTGTGAACCTGGCCTAATAAGTGCAGGCTTCTTCTTTTGTGGCCCTATGTGAGGCAGATAGACAGTCAGTGCCTCTGCCTCTCATAGAGTCGTGGGATTTGAGAACACTGGTGAGTGGGATCTGAGGAATCTTCACTGGCGGATAAGTAGGAAACACCTTTCTTTTAAAGGACATCAGTGGATCCACCCTAAATGTGTCCTTGTATTGTGACTTCGCTGGCAAGTTAGGACAGTTGGGAGACATGTCTGTCTGTTGCTGCTCTAATAAATGAACTAGTTAGTTAGTCTGCCAATAGAGACAAAACATCAACAGAAAAAAAGCTTTGCAAGTATGTTTAAAATCTCTGTAGTTAAAAGGAGAGCTATGAGGTGAGTGCTTTTCACTCACCTCATAGTTCTAGCCGACCTGTGACAATGAGACTGTGACAGGTCGGCTCAGTAGATCGAGAGGAGAGCGAACACATACCAGCGTTCGCTCACCTCTCGATCCTGCCACGGGGCCGTGACAGGGGAGGGGCTGGATACCCCCCTCCGCGCTCAGATCCATGCCATTTTTTTCAACGGAATCTTTTCACTATTGTTCACCCTTTGTTGTGCCTCAGTGCCGCTGATCTCCTGCAGCCTCTTTTCAGCCTGCATGGCATCCATTTTCCTGCTGGTGACAACATTGGACCATGCCTGTGCAATGTGCGGCCGCATGCCCACCTGTAGTCATTGGGAGCGCACGTGACAGGGTGACAACGCAGGAGCAGAATTGTTAGACAAGAACAGAGCGTTGTCACCCCATAATAGGCAGTGCCTGAACAACAACCATTATACCCCATTACACCCCATTATATTAGGAAACAATGATTATTACCCATATTTTTGCTAAAATATAAAAGACGGGGTCATGTCGGGTAAATAGACACTAAACATGTCATGCTTTAAAATTGCGCGCACCCGCGAATTCACAAAAAACTACCATACCCAAAATTGTCCATAGGCGACGCTTTAAAAGCTTTTACAGCTCGTCAGTTTAGTGTTATCAGTGATTGATGGACCCAGAATTATTGCTCTCATTCCGATGGTTGCGACGATATGTAACATGTGCGTCGTAATGGGCGAAATCGTCATTTTCGCACGTATGCGCACCCGACGCCTGCTTGCATGCGTGTATGTATGGGGGGGGACTTTAAAAAAAAAAATGTTTTAAATGTAATTCTTTTTTATTTGTAACTTTACATTTTTGGGGGGGAAACTTACATTTATTTTTTTTCCTATTTTTTTTCCAAGGGAGTGGCTGAACGGACGTCTAAAGACGCCTGCTGAGATCTAGAGAGCTCCTGGCCGGCCGTTTTTTTACAATGGCCGGCCGGGAAGTGGTTAAACAAAAGCATTTTCCTTTAATAATGTATTAATGAACACAAAGCTGCATTAATTTGTGTCCTTCATATCTGCCTGGAGATCAGCTTTAGGAAATGGATACACTGTGCTGTGTATACAAAGCAGGTCCTCAAGGTTCAGTCTGAAAATATACTTCTAATACCGGAGTTACGTTATTGATTCCCATATTAGCTTACCCACTTTGTCTTTATGAAGCCCCTACATGAGTTGATACAGTATTAAATACATGTCTGCTTGTAAATAGTTCATCGCTACAGTGCAGCCTGTGATAGAGAGTCTTGTGAGAGTTCCAGTAGAGACCCAAGGAGAGACTGTGCTGTGAAAAACTGTTGATACTATGATTCCCAGAGGGCTGTGCTTTGAGCAGGAGGATTGAGCTAAACTGGAGTTTCCTGAGGGCACTCAGTACAGGGAGAGCCAGCAAACTGAACAGATCTATGAGTGTTGCTGGCGTTTACACGGGGGGAGCTATAGACCCAGTTTGGACCTACCAGCGGGGTGTGAACTGTTTGATGCAGACCCGAAGAGAGATTTGTCTGGTCTGCTGTATGCAGTAGTGTTTGAATTGCCATTTCCAGAGGGAAACAGTGAGACCCGATACAGTGGGAGAACCGCGGCCAGGATGACTATTCGCATCCTGTAACCGGGAGGCCCGCTGCAGCACTGCGCTCTATGCTTTGTTGAGGGATATCCAGAGAGAGTTCTTCAGCATCATCCGGTGACCAGAACCTACAGAGGTGAGAACCAAAGAGGGTCAATTGGAGAGGAAGGGGACGATCTCCTCTTGCTGACGGACTTAGCAACTTCCGAACAAGCCCAGGATCTGGTGAGAGGCCTATAGCCATTTGCATTCATCACAATCAACTACTTCAGTGACACAGTGTGGGCCCCAACGATGACTAGCCTAGACTATTGCTACTGGCCAGTAGTATAGAGAGCTGGGAAATATTTGGGATTGAGACATTAGCCACCCAGTATCTAAAGTCAGAGATAAATATTTAGACAGCTCAGTAATGTATATTTCCATCAATAGATATCCGCGGCTACAGAGTGTCTGATTACAAAACGTATATTTGTTGAAGGCTGTTTCTCTTTGCTGTTGTACTTCTCTCATTTTGTTGGCCAATATACAATGTTATTTGTCTAGTTAAGCTCTTACAAAACTTCACAAGGTATGTTAGTATGCTGTGGATCCTGTCTGAGCAGTAAATCCTAGCTCGGGGACAGAAGAACCGGTGTATTCAAGCGGCTCCTTCGGAGGTGAGGGCTACACTTATGATCTGATAAAAGCCAATTTCTTATCCAATGAAGAGACACAATCAATGTACAGTCATGACGTCACATATAAAATTCTTGCTTTCACAGTGTCCACTATATGTTCCATATTGCTTGTCTCATGATGGAATGGACAGTTGCATTGTTTAGCTTCTTGCATTGCAGACATCAAATACTTGCATCAGTTTCAGAATGAGGTCTGGTCAGTGCCAAAGATGAGGTCCCTTTTTTAATTTTCATCATCCCCAGATCTAATATTCATATTACCACCTCTTATGGGGAATGACCACTAAAAGCCACACCACCACCCTCTGAGTTTAAGTTGACCAGCAATCCTTAATGTCTCCAGCTGTCAAGAAAGTTCCTTTGTCTTGATGATGATTTGCATTTCTAATTACACCATGTGATGTAATCCTGCATGTCTTATGACATCATGCCACACAAGCGCAGTAACTTCATACTGGTCAAAGCCAAGGTGGGTGCTCAATGTCTGTAGCTTGTGCTGTAAAGATTATCTTGGCATGTTTGGAGGTTGAGGATGGGAGGTTCTGGTGTTGGAAACAAGCTGTGAAGTCTTCTAATATATTTTGTTTTTAAATATGGTTATTTTTAGACCAATTACTTTTCATAATAATAGCCACCTGTCTCTTGGCCGAGTGTCCAGCCTATGGTGTCCATTTGGGGACATTCTTCCTGCTTAAAAGAGCATTTTATAGCTTTCATTGAACTGAATGAGAAATACTTAAGAAGTGACAGGTCCAGGGACATTTATTTTAGGAGAGATCCGAGGCTTCATGCTTCACCTGTACTGTGGTACATAATTGTTTCAGCTGCAGCAAATAGTTCTAGTTTAGAACTGAATGGGGGAAGGGTTAGGACCACTAATCAGATTTAAATGTTGACTGCCTCCTCACTTCCTGTTGTGTCTGACACCGGACACCTGGACAGGAAGTGAGGAATAACTCTCCAGCAGGAACACAGCCATCAAACCCTGGCTGGGATTCTAAACCTTGACCACTTTATCTAAAGCTAGAAATGGCTGGAGCTTTAACAGTTAGTGCTCCAATGTAGAACAAAAGTGTCACCATTAGTGTAAATCACCAGAATCCCAATCTGACGGCTGAGGTCTGTAAACAGAATGTTGCTTTGGTCTCCTATGGGATGGCTGGTTATATGAGGGATGCCGCAGTCTTCACCAGCAGAGGTCTGGCTGCCTCTAGGATATCAATCTCAGGGTCCAACGACCGGCCAAGTCCTTCCAAGACTACAATGGCGAACATTATAGAGGCGAAGTTACTCTCCAGCTTCACCTAGAAAGACAGAATTTCAGTGACTGGCAATGTTTTAGTACAAATAACTTACAAAGAAACTACATTGCTATATTTTCTACTATTAAAGCAAATTTTCAAATAAGATCTCTGACTATCTTACCCACCCACAGCCTTCAAGGCATTGCCGGTAGAGGGTATGATAATCCTACCATTGCTGCATAAACCACCGCTCTGGGATTTCATGGCAGTTGTTCAAATGTCAATTACGAGGATCAGGCAATCTATCTCTGATCCTTTCGCTCAGCATGTTATGTGACTGTCTAAGGGCCCGTAACGGGCTTTTGCTCACCAGTTTGAATTGTCATACAATTGGCAATATAATGATTGGGAAACTGCCTGGAAAAATTAAAAGGACATAAAATGATACCTTATGTGTCATCAAAAGCCGAAACACCTGAGACAGCAACAACGCAACCTGGAGCTGGAAAACAAGACACATTTATTAAAAGGGGGAAAATCAAAAAATCTGGTGTATTCAAACAGTAATCAACTTTCATCTTTTTTGGCTGCCTGATAGATGGTAGTAGGCAACCAGATTTTTGTAAATTAGCTAACTACTGCTAGTGATAATCAGGATGTATTTGAGTATTATTCTGAGATTGCAATTCTGCAAGCTGAATTAAAGTCTCAGACCTTTTATTTATCTCTTTATAGTCCTGTACCCCTGCATATCATGATTTGAGACTGATAGTATATTGAAAATGCTTTAAAAATACCCTTTTTTTCAGTAAAAACTGGCTTCCTACCCTCTCGCTCTGGTGCTCTGTGCTGGCAGAGCTCAGTAACAGCCACACCCCTCATCACAAGTATCCATACAGAGTTTTGTACTGCAGAGGACCAGAGGGAGAATGTTGGGCAAGGCCTGTTTCTAAGTGCTGGTTACTGAGTACACTGGGGATAACTCTGGGGCTTATTGAACTGCACAGTGATATTTGGTCATACTTCACAGCCCCGGTAATAGGAGAGTAACGGATTAACTCGATGAAATTGAGGGTTGTTAGTACAATGTATATTCAGAAATTCTCATCCATCAAGGCCCACTGTAGTCTGTTTGTGCTCACCCTAATGGGGTATGATTATGAAACCCCTGATCACGCATTGTTCATGCCCCCATTCATGGATGTAACAACAGCAAAAATGTGATGGGGGGGGGGGGGGGGGCGCCTGTGCA